GCCATTACTGTGTTGTGTGTTCGCAAGGAGGAAAATCAGCGGCAGAGAAGCGTAAAACAAAGCCGCCACAGAAGTGAAACAAAGCCGGTACAGAAGGGAAACAAAGCCGCCACAGACGTGTAAAAGAGCAGCTACTACAGGAGGGGACATAAGCCAACGCAGGCAACGGAAGAATGCCAATGAAGAACCGCTCGTTTAACGACGCTCCAGCTAACGTGAGTTGAAATGGTAACGAATGTCGATCCTCGTTAAGTGGGATCGAGTCTCACTCCTTAATCTGCAGAGTTTTGTCAAGGCTGTTTATCTGCTTTACTTTGCCACTCCCTGCCAAGTACCTCTCTCATCTACCTTGCCACTCCCTGCCAAGTACCTCTCTCATCTACCTTGCCACTTCCTGCCAAGTACCTCTCTCATCTACCTTGCCACTCCCTGCCAAGTACATCTCTCATTTACCTTGCCACTCCCTGCCAAGTACATCTCTCATCTACCTTGCCACTCCCTGCCAAGTACCTCTCTCATCTACCTTGCCACTCCCTGACAAGTACCTCTCTCATCTACCTTGCCACTCCCTGACAAGTACCTCTCTCATCTACCTTGCCACTCCCTGCCAAGTACCTCTCTCATCTACCTTGCCACTCCCTGCCAAGTACATCTCTCATCTACCTTGCCACTCCCTGCCAAGTACCTCTCTCATCTACCTTGCCACTCCCTGCCAAGTACCTGCCTCATCTACCTTGCCACTCCCTGGCAAACATCACTCCGACAGATTGTATATATGTTGGTAGAATTACCGGCTTGACAAAGCTCCTGGAGAGCGAAACGTTGTTTTTAAACATCGCTCGCTCACGGCGTCTATTGACAAGGAGGAATCTGCAACTCAAGAAATTCGGTGTGAGAGTGATGGGGTGAGGGGAGATAGGATGAAGAAACATGGGTGAGGGGAGATAGGATGAGGAAAGATGGGGCGAAGGGGGATAAGGTGAGGAAATATGGGGTTAAGGGGAGATAGGCTTATTAGAAATGGGGTGAAGGGGGCTGGGTCGAGGAGAAATGAGACGAACAGAGCCGGTGTCAGGCAAGCTAGGGGCCAGGGGCGCTAGGGGCCAGGGGCGCTAGGGGTCAGGGGCGCTAGGGGGCCATGGGAGCTAGGGGCCAGAGCTAGGGACCAGGGGAGCTAGGGGCCAGGCGAGCTAGGGGTCAGGGGAGATAAGGGTAAAGGGTGCAGGGAGACGAGGATTTAGATACGGTAGTTACCATCGATCGAACAACCACCAATCTTCTCTTTCATAATTTCGTAAATACTGAAAAACTGAAATTTGACAATTAAAATTAAATAAAGCAAAATAAAGACCCATTTATTACACCAATAAAACCTAATACTAATTAATAAAACGAACGAAAATAAAATGTTTAATCTCACTCCTTAAACGTGTTTAATATATATATATATCGTGGCGAATAGGTAAAACTGGTCATTTAGCAAGAACTCGTTTAAAATTAATTTTTTTCTAAAATATTCTTATACATTTAAAGATATATTTCTTATTTATGTTTGCATTAAAAAATTAACAGGGTAAGTCAGTGCTCGTTAAAAAAATCTCGGTGGGTCGACGAAGAGCCCTTGTCAAAATTAGCAGCGAGTGAGGAGGACCACGAGGTTTGAACGTTGATCGTGTCATCAGTGGATGCTAGGGTAAATATGATGCCACGTGTCTCTCGTTAGGGAGACCCCCATCACGAGGCTCTCAGCTGATGATGTGGCCAACATCAAACCTAGCTTCATCACCACGAACACAATCAGGAGTTAAGTTTGTGGTGTCACCACGGGAGCTATCACCAGACGAACACAAGCAGCTGCGAGAAAGGGGCAAAAAGAGAAACAAACATGGCAACAGATCTAACAACACTTACAGGAGTTTATACTACTAACAATAGCTCTCAGAAGTCCCAAACACCTGCAGGAGTCACTGTTGCTACCAACAACAAAAGAATTTGCATATGCCAGGAACCTCCATCACCACCTACTGCAAGTAACACAAGAACATCCAGGAGCTTCTAAATCCACCTATTACAAGTAGCACAAAAACATCCAGGAGCCTCTATCACCACCTGCTACAAATTAGTCTTCACCACCAGCAACACAACTACAGAGCCTGCACTATCTACAGGAGACTCTTACCAATAAATCTTCCCATTGTACAAAAAAACACAATAGATCTCCAGAATCACAACTAAGTAAATTTTAATGATCGCTGGAAGAAAAAATCAGTTCGAAATTCTGAATGAGATTCAGACTTTTAACCTAATAAACATTACCAAAATTAAGACATAACCTCCTTATCCCAATAAAAACAGTCTAGAATTTCTCGAAGCAGTTTAATATACAATAAGTCTTTGTAGAAATAACTAACTTTCACATGTTTATATTAGGTTTTCCACGCCTAGTTTATAATGGAAAGTAGCGCCAGAGTACTATCTGGATACACAAAAAAATTAGAAACCGATTTTGAAGCGATAACAAAAGTACATGTGAGGTAAATTTATAAACTGATATTTCATCTGATGAAATCAGATTTAAGACACTAGCTTAAAATTTATGTTATCTAACAACTCCAAATATGAAGACAACCCAAATCCCTAACATGTGAACAGCAAATCCCAAACAGTTCAACACCGTCCTGGTCTTTCAGAAACGCAAACATTAACAGCCTCAGCAACAACAGCCTCAGCAATAACAGCCTCAGCAATAACAACTCGTGTTACAGTCCCAGTCACAACAATATTCACTTCCACCATTGCCAAAGAGACTGCTAACACCAAAAACTACAGCTTCTTGTAACTAAATTTATCAGTATGAAGGAGTGTAAGTACGGCTCCATGAAATGTTAGTAGTCTATTAGACAAGCTCCGTTTGGTCGACTTAAGGAAGTGTCACGAGCAAAAAAACCACTTCGCCTGTCATAATGATATAGTAGATTCCGTACCGTCTTATTGTTGTCACTGGCTATCCTTCCAACTATAACTACGAAAATTGCATAGCGCCACAATGATTCTTACTGCTCAGGCCCCTGTTATGGATGCTGTCCACAGCACCCACAACACCAGCCACCCCTACACAGCACCCACAACACCAGCCACCCCTACACAGCACCCACAACACCAGCCACCACTACACAGCACCCACAACACCAGCCACCCCTACACAGCACCCACAACACCAGCCACCCCTACACAGCACCCACAACACCAGCCACCACTACACAGCACCCACAACAACAACCAACACAAACATCGGCTATCACAACCACTATTAACACGATCTAAGTCACAACTATCCCCACAAAGACAAGCCGAACTCAGCCCCTAACCTCCGCTGCCACAACCAGGAGGGTGCTGTCTACTCTGCCATTTAATGTGAAGTAAAAGCATTTTCATTTTTTTGTGCCTCATTGCGGTCGGCACACGTCACCAGCTCGCTGTGTTTACGGTCGACACATTGTACACACCACGATCACACAGGCTATAAATCGCTGCTGGCTAAGAATTGATTCACGTTCTAAATCATCATCCACCGCAAGTCGCCAGGAAAGGAAAATCGTAGAGTGTAAATCGATTTGAAATCAATACTACCAGAGGCCAGTTTTCCGGCTAGAACAGAGCGCAAATATCCCAGTGAATGTAAACAAGAGGTCGAAGAATATCACTAAGATTGCAAAGTAGTTAGGAATACATAACATAGAACAAAAACATCCAGGTTTGATATTTGAAGTTTCATTACCTCAAACTGTCAATTCCCGAAAAAATGAACATCTCAGAAATCGTAATGTGAATAAAAATTACACATTATAGCACTGTGCAATTTCGAGTGTCGGCAAAAACAAGGCGAACGTTCTTTAACATTATTGCTCACCGGCAGACAACACCCACTGGGGAACAGTAAGTACCAGCAAACAATAGCGCAACAGTGGGGGGGAAAAAATATATATATTATTTACTGTAACGGAGCCGAAGAAAAAATGATGCTTATAATCAGGGCACAACGATACGTATCTGGCTGGCTATGCCCGGTATTTACACCAAGTGGAATGACAAGTCGAGCCACCCGAGGGAATACCCAACGATCTTCACCCATAAAAAAAAAAAAGCTAATACCACACAAATGTCAACAATGAACACTGTTTGAAGTTTTATTGCTAAGTGTGGAACAAGTTCCAAGTTCCAGCAGAGAAGTTGCAGTCCACAAGGCAGAGTAATGCTCGAACTTTAGTCGATAAATAAGAAATTTGTAAAAGTTCTCTTTTCTTACAAAAGGGAGAGAAAAACGTTTAAAGTTGAGCAATAAAAACCTAAGAGACTCTGGGGCTCTACTGAAAGTGGATGACATTCTCTGTGTTGTAGATTCTTGGAGGAGTCTGCATATTTATTACAATGACAAAGGCTGAAAATGGGACTAGTGAGGATTCTGCCTTCACTTGATACACTCCAGAGCAGCCTACAGTACAGGCTTTCGAGACAACGTCTCGCTTTGTGTAGAGCTTTATAATTTTATGATTTAATAAAGCTCTACAGAGTGAAACGTTGTCTCAGTAAAAGCTGGTCCTGCAACGTTTTATTTTTCCCTTCACTGTTATCGGCAGTAAAACATTTGGCTACAGTCTGTTCTATTTTAGGTTAAATTACCTAAAATGACAGAGTAAACAACTCGTTTCTTTCAGCAAGTCGCTAAACTGTCTACCGACAGCCAGACTTACCTGACCTTATATGAACTTGAATGATAATTCTATCGAGATTCGATGTAAGAAGCGCTGGCGTTCTGGAAGTGCATTCAGACCACTGATTCTTTTCCAGTGTTCGCTGCTGCTGCAGTTGTTGCTACAGCAGTGACTCTCTACCCTACCTTTCCACGCGTCCTTAAACACGTACAAAGGTGATTTAGGGACAAGGTCAAATCAACACTGAACGTGTAATCTTCTAACGAACATACCAACAAGTTGACGTACCTGTATGACCCGCATGGGCAGGCCGGTCTCCTTGGCCAGCTGCTCCCGGATATGTCGCGTGGGTTTCGGGGTCTTGTTGAAGGCGTTCTTGAGAATCTCCAGCTGCTTGGCCTTGATGGTGGTTCTGGGACCCCGCCTCTTGCTACCCTTGTCCTCCTCCCCAGACTGTGGGACGAGACCAGACACACACATCCAAGAATTATATTTCAGGCCGTGTTATTTGCTATGTATTTACGTCTACTGATCTAATTCTGTCTAACCGTTTATTATTAATCCATCCTTTCATATAAATGATAATCATTTACTGTTATTACCACAAATTTATCATTAATTTTTAAATTACCATTACTGTTATTATCAAATAACCCACATTTAGGAGAGGACACTTCAAATGACGTTTCGATTCGGTCTAGTCAAGAAATTGTGACATATTCCGTAATTTTATTTTTTATTTCTATCATCAATATCACTGTCCCAACAAATATTCAAACAAAATTTTAAGAACCATTTTTTTTTAAAAAAGTCAGGCTGACAGATACTTTTATTAGTGGTAAACATTTTAAATTCATCATGGGAACGCGCGTTAGGACGCTATATTTATCAATGAGGCCATTAATTTGATCTCATCTATTTGTAATTTGGAGCAATGGTTATATCGCTGGCTGCAGAGCAAGGCATTAATTCCGTCTACCGGTTCTAATGCCCGTAAAGCGTCACAATATTATAATGAAATCTGATTATCCAATGGTATACTCCGGTTTAGAGTTGGAGAATATAGACTACGGGCTATTAGCGGATGGAGTATCGAGCCTACATCGCTCTTTACGCTGGATGGTCCACACGGATTTGGAAATGAGAATAATTATATTATACCATGTTTGTGTGTATGATATATATATATATATATATATATATATATATATATATATATATATATATATATATATATATATATATATATATATGTAATATATTATATATAAATAATGTCGTGCCGAATAGGTAAAACTGGTCAATTATCAAGAACTCGTTTAAAATTAAGTCCTTTCTAAAATTTTGTCTTATATATTTAAAGATATATATTTTTTCATTTATGTCAATATAAAATTTTGTACCAAGAGAACCTTAGTAAACTTGTCTAACCTTATTACAACAAGCGCAATTTAATTTAGCCTAATCAAACTAAATATATTTTATGCAAGTTCATAATAATTAAATAATAAACAAACACAATAAAATATTTTTTTTCGTTAGGTTCTGAATGATTTTTGCGAAATTATTACATAAACAAATTTTTGCTTGCCTTATTCGGCAAGAAGTGCGTTGCTATTTCAGCCCAAATCGCAAGTTTTACGTATTCGGCAAGACACACACACACACACACATTATATATATATATATATATATATATATATATATATATATATATATATATATATATATATATATATATATATATATATATATATATATATATATATATATATAATCATTAACGAAACTGCGGCTGGCCGAGACTAGATCCCGCGTCACCCAGTACAGCCCTGTGAGAAGCAAGATAACGTTCGCGATGCTCTAACCATTGGACCACCAATCCTACAAATATGAGCCTAGCGAACTAGGCTTGTTTCAGGTTGCAAGGACATAAGTGGCCATGGTATGCTCAGAGCTAATGTCAATCTACTCCCGTTTGAATACCAGCATGCTCGTGAAGGCTGGTATTCTAGCGCTTACCCTTGACTGTGATGGTAATGAAGTCTTACCCTCTTGTCATCATCGTCCTTGTTGGCCTCCAGCTCCTCGTCCTCATCATCTCCCTCGTCGCGAGAGTTGACGCTGGAGACTTTCTCCAAATCTGTGGTTTGGGGCGCGGAGGGCGTGGAAGGCGTGTTGGGGGCGTGCAGGCCGGTGGAGTCTGATCCCGGGGACTTGAGCGAAACATCGCCTGTGTCCATAGACTCTATCTCCTCCTCCTCGTCTGATAATACGTAAGGGTCGACTGGAAAAGAAAAAGAAAAGTATATCAACAACAACAATAAAAGACTATTGTTTAACGTGGAAATATTATGGTTACCAATAATATAATGATCTCCTTACGTCAATTTAACACTAATTTCATAGGGATGCACCAAACCCTCAAGGGTCCTACAGCGCCTTGGGAATGGGAGGCAATCAGATCTGACCCACGGAAAGTGAGAAGAATATCTCAAACTCCCTGAATCAAGAGCCCAACACCGGCATCAAGGAGCATGGTATGGACCTTGGTAGAAGATACCGACGAGCTCAAAGAGACACGTGAGTAAACACTAGGATATATTAAAAAACGTGTCGGTTCTCTGGATAAGAAAAATGCAAGTTTGTGTGTTGTATATTAATGTGTAGATGTTGTGTGTTGCAGACATTTGAATGTCTGAGACATTACAGAATTTCCTCAGACATTTGAATGTCTGAGAGATTACAGAATTTCCTCAGACATTTGAATGTCTGAGAAAATTTCTGTAATCTCATAATTCAAAGAGTTTGATAATCCCAGATAAAAAAAATATAAAAACAGTAAGAAATAATACCAAATAAACTTGATTACAACGCAGATTGTCTACACATTAATATTCTATACAACACAAAAAAATGGTATTTTTCTTATAATCCAGAGGACCGAAACGTCTTCTAATAAATATATCCCAGTGTTTACTGAAGCGTCTTTTTTCAACCACCGAGGAACGTCCCCGGGTGTTACGATATTTGTTGGTTGCCACTTCCGTACCAGACAGCTTTCCGCTCATGTAGTCTTGTTTACAGACGAACTTGTTCTCCTCGAGGACGTAGAGTTCTTCACCGGTGGAGAGCTGCTTGCGGCAGACGCAGCAGGTGAAACACTTGAGGTGGAAGACGCGGTCACGAGCCTTCCGTACCAGGTCTTGCGGAGAGATGCCCTGCAGACATCCCGAACACTTCGTCCCAAATCTCCTGCAAGAGGGAGAAAGATCAAGCTTAGTTGAAGTTAAGGGCCAGGGTCGAGACACGCCAAAATGTTAAACATTTAATAATAATTAGAATATGTGTCACTATGTGAGCCACCTGCAACGGGGAGAGTAACTAAACATCTGTGTTACGACAAAGTCTCTGATGGGCGAAACGTTTTCAGAATAAAGGCCATAAACCACACACAATGTGTCTTAGCTTAGACTCGGGGCTGGGCAGAATAATATAACCTATTTTTAGTTATCTATATATTACATGTATGTATGTATGTATGTATGTATGTATGTATGTGTGTGTGTGTGTGTGTGTGTGTGTGTGTGTGTGTGTGTGTGTGTGTGTGTGTGTGTGTGTCGGATACAGTGCATGGCATGTGTGGTTTAGAGCCTATTAACTGCACAAGGATCATTGAGAATGCATTTCACCTGCATATTAATCAAGAACACTTTAATCACTAAGATAGGAATGCAAATAAAGTCTCAGTATATGTACTCAGATACGCATCTTTCTATTTACAGAGTTACGTACTTCTCTGTGTATACAAACTTAAAAGATGTATACCCTTCTCTCTGTATAGTCCCAATGATGGTCGATTTTTTTCTTTACTTAATAATACGAAGAATGGAATCAAGGCAAGAATTATCATTTGCAAGTAGGAAGAACTGAATCCGTAAGTCATACAGTGCCTGGGGAACGTGAACTAGGTTTGATGCAAGAAAGAGTTGCTGTATTTCCTTGATCATGAGACCTTCACGAACTTGGTTGCACCCTTGATGAAGGCCGTGGCAAGAGTAATGCCAGGTGGTGTGGTGGGCAGATTGCGGGCAGCAATAAACACAGATTACTGGTTATATAGACAGTGCAGAATAAGACTTTATAAAGGCAACGTTTCACTCGAGGAGAGAGAAACGTTGTCTTAATAGAGTCTTTGAATTACCTCATACGTCGGCGCTCTGCCTTCCGGTCAAAGGCAGAGTGCCAGGTGCATACAAATTGGCAATAAACAGGCAGCTCCGTGTCATTTGCGATTTGGTAACAGCTTCAGAGGGTACAATTAGTGATGACAATGAGTGAACTAATGTGTTCAAATGACACTGCGGCGCCAACGGCTTCACCATAACTTTTCCCATCAAGGGTCTTCCAGGGCCGCCCTCCTCCATCACCTAGGGTCTTCCAGGGCCGCCCTCCTCCACCAACCACCCTCTTTTTTTGGCTTCCTTCTCTTTTGAGTTCTTCTCAGTCTTTCTCCTGTTTTTAATTACCACTTTCTCGTACTTTGAACATTTTCATTGAGGTTTTCCCTTTTCTCAACTTGACCTTTTGTGGAGATATTTTTCAAGTTCGAAAACTTTAATAGAAAAAATGTTATACCTCGTTCATGGAAACTTTTTTTTATCTATTAACCCCCCCCCCAAAAAAAAAAAAAAAAAAAAAAATATAATAGAGTGAACTCGGTACACAACCTATAATTATTACCATTATTATTATGGGATTATACAGCGCCTTTGGGGAGGGGGGGGGGGAGTGTAGTGGAAGGATGGAAGGCATTCAGGGTCAATCCGGGGAACTGGAGCACAGATCCGGTTCCCTAGATCAAGAGCCCCTTACCAACGTAACCCAAAAATAAAGCGGATATTTAAAATTTGCCTGAAAAGTTGGGAAATCAGAGTAATAAAAGGAGGATAAGTTTGGTTCCTGACTTGAGTTCACTGTATGGAAATGTTTCTTTAGGATTATAATTTTTCTATGAAAGTTTTCAAAGTTGAGAAAAAAATCCCCATAATTTTTCCATGAAAGTTTTGAAAACTGAAAAAAAAAATCCCCATAATTTTTCCATGAAAGTTTTGAAAACTGAAAAAAAAAATTCCATAATTTTTCCATGAAAGTTTTGAAAACTGAAAAAAAAAAAAAACCATAATTTTTCTATTAAAGTTTTCAGAGTTGAAAAAAAAAATCCAGAAAAGGTACAAGTTGAGAGAAGAGAAAAAAAAAATAAGAGAAAGTGGTAATTAAAAGTAGGAGAAAAAATATGTTGGGTTAGGCGACATACCTAAAAAAAAAAGTATATGTAAAGAATGCAAAAGAATAGAAGAAAAAGGGTCGGGATAAATGTGGCGAAGAGGAGACCGAAGAAAATCATCACACGTACAAATTTGCACGTATATCTCTCGTGATGTGAAAAATGGACGGCAGCACAGAGGTACAAGTCCAAAACCAAGATACAGATATTCTGTTGTGAAAGCAAGTGTTCATGGGGAAGGAAATTGAAACCCACTCGACACCTTATTTCCACTTAGGTGAAACAGTGTTAGGTCTGTAACTCACAGGACTAAATGTCCTGTGAGTTACACACAGGGGCTTGGAAAAAACACCCAAATGTTTCTTAAAATATTCGAAGTGTAACATATGTGGTTTTATTACACAGTTTGACGGTCTCGACATACCGAGTACTTGTACTGTGTTATGTTACTGAAAATGAGAAATTTTGGTTATTCGAAAAGGCTAAGGATGAGCCCCGACACCTGTCAGAGGTACACACCAGCCTCAGACTGGTCCACACTTGGTGGTGCAAGGACCCTCGAACCTTAGTCCCCCACACCTGGCAGAGGTACACACCAGCTTCAGACTGGTCCACACTTGGTGGTGCAAGGACCCTCGAACCTTAGTCCCCTACACCTGGCAGAGGTACACACCAGCCTCAGACTGGTCCACACTTGGTGGTGCAAGGACCCTCGAACCTTAGTCCCCCACACCTGGCAGAGGTACACACCAGCTTCAGATTGGTCCACACTTGGTGGAGGTGCAAGAATCCTCGAACCTTAACCCCCACACCTGGCAGTGATATACACCAGCCTCAGGCTGGCCCACACCTGGTGAAAGTACAAGTAGCCTGCAGCCGCTGCGGCTCAACTCTTCTCCAACGTGTGTAAGATGCAAATGAGTTACCTTGAAGACAATTTTCAGTTGTAGGGTTGTGTCTCATTCAACTGCGGGTGTGAACACTGATTTAAACAGCAGCACCTGTGTACGACAACATTCATTATGTGTATGTTTAGCCATAGCTTGCAGCCTTAGCTTATGCAGCAACGATCGATTTGCCAAGCAAAGCATATTTTTAATTTTGCTGTAACACCGTGAAAATTAATCGAATCATCTCAACATTAACACATTTCATTGATGTTAAATGATTTGAACTAAACTTCGGCTTAACTTAAGATAAATTTGGTAGGAATTAACTTCATTCAATAGAGCAAATTCTGACAAAGGAAATAAAACTGCGGGGTTATTTTAGTGGAAAGAAATACATGTTAATTTTAGTGAACATATCAATGTATTCGTTACTAAAGCAATGTTCATTTTTCTTGCACTCTGTCGCACTGCTCAGATCACTCGTTTCTATATATATATATATATATATATATATATATATATATATATATATATATATATATATATATATATATATATACACACACACACACACACACACACACAAAACTAAATATTCAATCAGGTAATACTCGAAGTATCGCTAAGACAAAAATTTACATATAAAACCGGGCGTTAATGTTCAAAACTTTGCAACATTTTTTATCGAACTGCAACAACAGCAGCAGTAGTAGTAGTCTGTTGTTGTTGTTGATGTTGTTGTTGTTGTTGTTGTTGTTAGTCCATTTAAGAGATGGCAAGAAGGGAGGAGGGAAAGAACTGGGACAGGATGTAGTGAAAAAAAATTGTGTATAGACAGGAAGAGAGGTGAGAAAGGTTGTAGGTAGACAGGAAAAGAGCTGAGAAAGTTTGTAGGTAGACAGGAAAAGAGCTGAGAAAGTTTGTAGGTAGACAGGAAAAGAGGTGAGAAAGGTTGTAGGTAGACAGGAAGAGAGAAATATGATAAGAAAGGTTAAGTGGCTTAACCACAGTGGCAAGTACTGTAAGTATCTTTAAAACAGTTCGGTGTACTAATTAAAGCATCGCACGGGGGATGGAAATCTTCAGCTCAAGTACTTTCACACGACTCCGTGCGTCATCAGGAGCTATGCAGTGTTGCAAGAGTAGCAACAGAAGAAATGAGGGGAAGTTTTCTCAGAGTGAGGTGGAGTGGTGACACTAGTAGCAGCTTCTCTCACGCGAGAGAAGCTGGCTGGCTATTGTCACCACTCCAACTCACTGAGAAAACTTCCCCTCATTTCTTCTGTTGGTACTCTTGCAACACTGCATAGCTCCTGATGACGCACGGAGTCGTGTGAAAGTACTTGAGCTGAAGATTTCCATCCCCCGTGCCTTGTCTTGCATTGTTAAGATGACTTATGAGCGATTGGATTTTCACGAAATCAGATTATATAATGTTTATAACCATTAAGATTTTGTAAGCATTTATTGCGAGTTGAGAGTTGTGGGAATTGAAAATAATCGAAAACCCAGCTAGGAAATTCCCTATACAGAGGCCATACAACACTAAAAGTTTATTGTTAAGAAATTTCTTTTTAAAGTGAAGGTCGAGGTGTTGTGGCAGCAGACGGTGGGCACATTCTTACCTCGTTTAGTAGACGTTGGGGAATGCCGCTGAGTCATTCAGTGCGTCTTATAATGCGTCATATACTGCGTCTTCTAACACGTTATCCAATGCGTCTTCTAATACGTCATCCAGTACGTCTTCTAATGCGTTATCTAGTGTGTCTTCTAACGCGTTATCTACTGCGTCTTGTAATATATCAAGTGTATTTTTTACTGCGTCTTCTACTGCGTCATCCCGTGCGCCTCCTACTTCGTCAACCAGTGCGTCTTCTACTGCGTTATCCAGTGCGTCTTCTGTGTCATCAAGTGCGTCTACCTCCGAGTATCACAGCTTCAAGTCACTATGCCGAGCAGATTGACAAGAAACCAGGAGTACCGCAGTCAGCTCAGTGTCAACAAATACTACGGGTTTGCTTCCTCAGTGTTAAGTACAAGAGACAACGAGCTCAAGGAGAGGTTTATCAGGGTAACTT